CCCCAGATCGGGGTCGTCGACGTCGCTCTCCGCCCGGTCGGCAAGGAACTCGCAGGCCGGCCCTGAGGTGCCGGCTGGTGGATGGAGGAGGGGATTCTGACCAAAGCCGACTGATCAGGCCACACAAAACAGACTCGGCAAGAAAGAAGACAATCCAAAGAAAGAAAGAAAAGGCAACTCACTACGGGCGGGGGGTTGGCGCGGGAGTACGGCTCCTTGCCGAACCGCCAATCCTTCAGGAGCTTGCTGTCCGAGAGGTAGTTCACCATGTAGGCCACCTCCTCGTGAGGCATGTCCTTGGTGCACATCCGACTCGGGTCACGGTGCCCGCTCATTTGGCATATCATGTGGGGGCGACCTTGGAGCGGGAGAACTCAGCGCGCCACGAAGGCGGCCAGCAGGTCTGGACCAGTCAAGCCCTCCGACTGCGTCAGCACTCGGAGTCGCGTGACGGCGCCGGCTCCCGCAGGCGTCAGTGACTTGGCCCGGTACGACCAGTTGGGCAGTCTCCCAGCTGGCGGGCCGGCTTCGAAAGCCGGCAGGTTGACCCAGTCGCCCCTCGCGGAGACGCTCCTGACATAGAAGTACGATCGCTGCCACATCTTCACCGACTTTATTAGCCAGATGGTGGGGAAGGGGTTGTCGGCCCCCAACCTTCGCACGGCAATGAAAGCGCCGCATTGAGCCGGCACGCCTGCAGCCTGGGTGCCGAGCTTGGAGAAGAAGAACTCCCCACAGAGCTCGAGGGTGGGGAGGACTCCGAGGAAGCCTTCGCACAAGGCCACGAAGGCGGACAACAGCATCACCATGTTGGGCGTGAGGTGGTGCGGCTGGAGGCCGTAGAACTCCAGGAAAGAGCGAAAGAAGTTGCTCGCCGGCAGCCCCAACCCGCGCAGGCAGTGCGAGCGGAAGATGACCCGCTCGCCCTCCTGCGGCGCGGGGGAAATCTCCCCCTCGGCACAAGACGCACCCACACGTAATCTTCGTCGGGGAGCCGACGAGTCTTGCGGAGGAACTCGATGTGGTCGTCGTGAACTTCTGAGCCGTCCCAGGTGCCGGAGCGCACCGGGGGATGTGCGGCGGCAGAAGAAGAACTCATCGCGAGCTGATCGCCGCGGCATTCGTCGAAGCTTGGGCGCGCGGCGGAGCGAAGAAGAAGAAGAAGGAGAAGAGCAAGGAGTAGTGAGAAGGAGGGGCGCGTGTGCTCTGCCGCGCCCCCCTACTTATAGCCTCATGGGCTGCGAAGCCGAGGGGCGGTCGTGGGATTTGCTGCGCCCACGACCCCCACGTTTCCACGACAAAGTTACTGCACGCAGTAACTCCACGGGAATCCCAACCGTCCGCCTGGGCCATAGCGGATCCGCTCGGGCGCCGAGGCGCGGTAGTGGCGGGCCCCGCCTACGGGCCTGTCCCGTCGTGCGTGTAGACTGGCAGAATGGCCCGGCCACGTGTTATCACGTGACAGGCCTGGAACGGGCGGCAGCCTGGAGGCTTAGCCAGCACGCTACTTGGATCCCGCCACGACGTTCGAAAAATTGTGCGAGTCAGAGTTGGGCGAGTCTGACTCCTTCTAGTCGGCCCGGCGGGAGTCAAGCAAGAACCATGTGTCGAGCACCTGGAAAGAGAAACTGTTGAGGTTTCTCGGCCGATCGTCCGCGGCGCCTCACCAGCTTCGGGGACTACTGTCGGAGTAATGGGCCACGGGTAGGCCAACCCGAGCCCTAGAACCTTTCAAGACATCGGGGCAGGCTGCGCCCCTCAAGACCCCAGGATGAAGAGCCGCCTTCTGAGAAGTCGGCGGCAAGACGGCCGACTGCCCACTCGCGGCCGAGTCCCGGGGACGACTTCAGGATAAGCCGACTCCTGACTGGCGACTTCCAGAGAAGCCGGCTTTGGGGAGTCGGCCTGCGACTCGAACGAACCCATATCCTCATCAGGAGGGACAGGACCGGGGAATGGCTACGGTAAAGCCCGCTCCCGCCCCTTACCAAGGGCAGGCATGGCCACAACACGCCGTACCCGGGGAGATCTCCGTGCGACGTGGCACTGTTGCCTTGCCGGCCCTGACATCAGCACTGAAGGACCGAATCCTGAGCCCACGACGGCTTGTCTGTGCGACCCTGGGGCGGCGGGTCCCACCAGTCAGAGGGACCCCAGGAGACAGCAAGTGCGCCACCAGTCGGCCCCCGGAGTCGGCCAGACCCTTCCCCGGGGCCCACGCGCCATTAATCAGATGTGACGGAGAGTGGCAATAGTGATCGCCCGCCAGGCGGCGGGGCTGTTGCCACGACTCCATGATCAAGCCCGCGTCATCAGAAGCACGGCTACAGTAATTAGCAGCCGGCAAGACCCGCCCGCGGCGGACGCGGCCTGTCGGCTCCGTACCTGGCCAGTCGGTGGGGCCAACCAGTCGGCGGGCCCCAGCAGTCGGCGGAGAAGACGGAGGCCAGAGGCACTGACGGCTGGGCTCGCGTCCAGCCGGATTACCATTGTACCCCTGGGGGGTAGGCCTATATAAACTCCTAGGGCACCCATGCAAAGGGTTGGAACCTATTAGTTTTAGACCAGATCATATAGGAGGGAGAGAGCTAGCATGGCCCTCTCCTACCTCCAGGAAACAGCTCAAGAAGCTATCATGTAAACACTTTGCCTTAGTGATCATGCGGAGACCCCGTAGAGCAGCAGTAGGGGTATTATCTCCCCGGAGAGCCCTGAAGCTGGATAAGATTCGTCGGCGTGCATGCCTACGCCTCATCCCGTTTCCAGGCACCGGCGACGTTCTACTCGCCCCATCATGATAAGCCATCCTTTGGCATATGTCGCACCCAACCCCCGACACAGCAATTACTCATCGTTCGCTACCCTCTAGTTTATCCATGGCATCGCCATATCCGCTTGCCAAATTATAACTCATGATTCTTTCTTACTATATTTATTTTGCTTAATATATAAGTTTGGGCATGGATAACACGTGTTTAGTGGCTCTAGGAGAACTACATCAGGATGCATGCCATGAACCTACCAACCGGTACAGCCAAATCTTTGAAATTGGTCGAGATAATTGGCACAGCCTTAGCCTGTAGTACGATATTTGTACATCAGTACAGATCGAGGAGCTATATAATAAAGCAACAGAAAGTTGTCAAGCCCGAAAGGAGAGAAACATTTCTGGATTCATGTGTATCAGCATCAATCCATGCATATTGAGCTAGGGTAGCGTGTTAGGACTGAGAGGCTTCGGTAATCTGGTGACATGATATATCGCATAGCGCAGTACTTCTACTGATGACTCGTGTAGTTTCAACAATGAAGGATGTATCAGCGGCTAGCGATTCACCGCTCGTGGAGCATGGTCAACACATTGCTAAAGAAAAGCAAGAAATGCACGTGTGGTGGCAATGGCTAAACATTTCATACCTGGTGGATTTTGTTCGCTCTGCCGCCTGGGCGCGATCCACGCTCGCAAGTCATATCACACTATCACCTGCTATCCACCGACATCACGTCTTGGTTGTCTCTTGATGTTGTGGTTGCACACACCTTGCGCGCCCTTGTGCCACGACAAAAGTAAGAATGGTGATTTATCCCTGTCTCACTCGTATGAGATGATACGACATCTTACATGTTTGTGTTTACCGACACTCATGAGCTTAGATGCCACACATTTGTAATAACCTATCTAACTTGCCATGTACTCACACCTTTTTAGCAGATCTTGCCACAATTGTGCCGATCAATTAGTTTCGCCATTTTATCTCTTGCTTGCCATGCATAAATTTCTTGGAGAAGAGTGTCAAAATCCGGCTATTGACCAATCAAGTTCTCTATCTTCCAACACATAGAAGAGAACTGTAGTTGTGTGGTGGCAGAGTCGCGGGGACATGACTCAACCCGTGGGCATCAAAGTTCAAATTCAGGAGCTCGCATCTACTCACACCAGCTCATGTGTTTAGTACTAGGATATTAACGAGGTTGGCCGATTTATCATCCATTGTCATTCTATGGAGTCATTAGGAGATGTGATCAGTGTTCTTTCTAACACAATACAATTCCAGTTGAATGTATGTATAGTGGTCAAGTGGTGTGTATGTGCGTATTACACATCATCAGAAAAAAAAATAAGCAAACAGTTCTTTGCCACAAACACGAGACGGGACTGGCGTGAAAAAACAAAAAAACTTAAAAACAATATGTGTTTTTTGGGCCACATTGTTGTGGCCAGATCCACCTTAGCACACTGTTTCACGCCTCACGCCCCAGGAAACACATCTCACGCCCCAGGCAGTGCCACAGTAGTGCTACAACATACAAAAACACAGTAGTGCCACATCTCACGCCCCAGGCAGCCGCCCGGGCTGCCTGGGGCCTATCTCCGCCACTGCACACCATTATTGCTACAGACAATGGTCTTGTGAATTGTGATCATGTGCAGTGGAGTGGACAACTGTCTTGCAAAGGTGGTGGACAATTCTGCAGCTAAAACGGGCAACCACATGGTGCCCAGAACACACTTTCCCAGCAACATTGGCATCATGCATCCAAAAAAATATGAAGCCAAACTGGCAGCAGCAGAGTTGATCAGTACTAATCTCAACACGGTACATTACTTTGGTCTGTAACTTCACTATTAATAATCTCCACATAGTAGAAGATTGGTGCTGAACCAGTACTATGTGACTTTGGCCTTTAACCTCACTATAATATAAATCTCCAAGGAAGATTGATGCTAAAAAGACAACACCATGTCCACATCACCACAACATCCATACACCAGGGGTACACCAGGGGAGAAAACCTAACATATGCTACAGAATTCGGAGCTCAAGAGACACCAGTCAGAGAGATCATGACCCCAAATCCATTCTCCCACACCACTAACACCCTTCCATCAGCTCTTCTAGGCAGAGCAAACTGCATATAACTACGGTTGTTCACTTGGGATAATGCATCAACCCAGTGGACATGATCCATTTCATCCATAGGACGAATAGGAACAGGGTCTAGGAGTCGCTAGTAAGATCAAGATCGCCGTCCTCATTGTCACCAGTTGCATCTGCTTCCTTCACCTCCTGAATCATCTTGAGGACTTGCCAGGCAGTTGGCCGACTCTCCGGCGATGACCGGACGCAGGCAGACGCAATGTCGACGATCATCGAGAGGCGCTCTCTGTCCACTCCTTCGTCTTCCCTCCCCGACAGCGCATACGTCTGGAGATTGGTTGCTGCCAGAACCGAATGCTCAAGCGGCGCCTTGCCGCTGAGGAGCTCGAGGAGAAGGATGCCAAAAGCATAGACGTCTGACTTGGGTGTGAGCCTTCTGTTGGACTTCATGTTTTCTGGTGCTCTGTATGCCGCATCGTCTTTGACTTCTGCTGATTCCAGAAGGAATGAAAGGCAGTTGTCGGTGAGGCAAGCTTCAAAGTCTGAACCAAGTAAGACATTGGAGGACTTGATGTTTCCATGAACAAGCCGGGATGCCTGATGAATGTAAGCAAGGCCCTGTGCAACATCTTCTGCTATCTTCAGGCATGAAGTCCAGTGCAGCGGTTTTCCCCGGGACGATCTTGAACCTGCAATCGATTTGAGCTTGTCAAGCTAATAACAGTGAAACACCAGCAGCAAAAGGTTCTAGTGCTATTAGAGTATCCAATGAATGTACAAAGGCTATGTTGGTATCCTGATATGTACCAACTTGTGGAAAGCTCTGTATAACATGCTTACAAGATACTATGTCATTTGGCTGGAGTACAGATAGACAGCACATACAATTGAACATAACCAACAAATCAAACGAATAAGCTCGCTATCACTGCATTCTGAAAGGCTCAAATCAATTTCTACTCCCGCCGTAAATTAATTTATCATCCAAAACTGTAACTATAAAGCAATTGTAACATTATGCTCTTCATGGTGATACCAAGTTCAGTTTAAAAAATCTGTAAAACATCACATGAGCAGTTACCGGTTGCTATGTGGCAATCACATGTTCTTCCAATTTCCCTTCCTCAAACAAAGGTCGGCAATAATTACCAATCTTTCTCTTTGTTGCCGCCTTGACCCTTGCGACCTTTATAATTGTATTCATGGCTTCCTTTTCATGAATCTACATTGTTGTTTGATCTAGAACAGCAATCACATGTTACTGGCTTACTGCAAGGGGTCCATTCCAAACAAAGGATGAGACCCTACTAATGTTCAATCCCACAAGACATGGTCGCGTGCTAGATTGGCGATCACTCAATGCACATCTGCTTGCTTTGTTTATTGACTTGAGGCAGAAAAAGCACCAGCAATCAACCCATACAGCAGAAAGTACTGCACAGATCGTTCCACCCAAGGTACACTCATTCGCTAGCAGAGTTTCACGTGGCAGGTCTTCTGAATTTCAATTCGTTGCCATGTGAGGATGAAGATTGTTAAAGTTAAAGTTAGCCTAGCCCACTCTACTGATAATTATCCACTAGGGTTCCAGATTCAAGTGTAATGGCAGCAATCAGAAGTGTTCCTTGCAGAAAATGTTTAAGTGCAACCCAAAAATCTACTCTAAGGAGCAACAAGCCGAGCAATGGAGCTTACCGTGGATGAGAGAATGGAGGCTGCCGTTGGGCTGGTAGTCGTACACCAGCAGCCGCTCCTCCTTGGCCTGGAAGAATGAGCGCAGCGGCACGAGGTTCGGATGCCGCAGCCGGCCAATCACATCCATGTTCTGCTCGAAGGTCTCGGCCTCCGAAGCCGCCGGGCCGATCTTGGCCGCGTCCAGCCTCTTGACAATGACCACGAGCCGGCCGTCGAGCACCGCCTTGTACGTCGTCCCCACGCTCCCGCGGCCGAGCACCTCCGCCGACGCGCGCATCAGCTGCTCCAGACTGTAGCTCGTGGCCTCGCCCGCGCAGAACGTCAGGCAGCCGCTCCGGCCCAGCCGGCGAGCCTTCTCCTCCGGCATCATCATCGCCGCCGCCTCCTCGTCCGGCACGCACTCCACATAGCCAATGTCGGAGTTGTCCATCTCCCTGCTGAGTTGCGAGGCGGCCGCGCTCTTCTTGGGGCTCGGGTATGCCGCCGTGCTCGGACGCCTACGCTTCTTGCCCCTCGTTGCGGCAACTATGGCGCAAACGAGAAGTACGGCCAGCACGGCTGCCAAAGCAATCGCGACAGTCATTGCCGTCTTCTTCTTCACTTTGTGCGCGCGTGGTGCCGACGAGCCCGGCAAGCCCTGGCGCTGCGGGCCTACGCCAGTGGCACCGGCGCTCTGCGCGGGGGGAGTGGCGGAGCCGCTGCTGCCGTCGCCGGGGAAGAAAACGAGGGGGGAGCCGCTGCACTCGCGGCGGACGACCTCGCCGCAGAGGCCGGGGTTCCCGGCGAACGCGTCGGCGCCCATGAGCGCCATGGAGGCGGTGACGGGCACGGGGCCGGAGAAGTCGTTGTACGAGACGTTCAGCAGCTTGAGCGACGACTGGTTCCATGCCGGGACGGAGCCGTTGAAGTGGTTGGAGTCGAGGCGCAGGGCCGTGAGATGCGGGAACGCGGCCTCGATGCCGGGCGGCAGCGCGCCGGAGAACCGGTTCCCGGAGAGGTCGATGGAGCGGAGGCGGCGCAGCGAGGCGAGCGAGGCGGGGAACGGGCCGGAGAAGCGGTTGCCGGCGAGGAAGAGCGCCTTGAGGTTGCCGAGCGCGGAGAGGTCGGGGACGGGCCCGTGGAGCGCGTTGGACTTGAGGCTGAGCACGCGCAGCCCGGCGAGGCCCGAGAGCGTGTCCGGCGCGAAGGTGCCGTTGAGGCCGGCCTGCTCGAGCACGAGGTGCGTGATGCCCGCCGCGCCGCTGCAGGTCACGCCCGGGTGCGCGCAGGGGGTGGCGGCGAGCGGGAACCGCAGGTGCGCCGTCGGGTCGGCCTTGGCGAGGAAGGCCGCCAGCAGCGCGCCCTCGGCCGGCGGGGCCGTGGCCAGCGCGGCGGACGGCGGCGCCGCGGGCTTCGTCGGCTGGGAGTGCGACGCGCCCGCCCCTTTCGTGGGCAGCGTGGGCTGGGAGTGCGACGCGGCGGGCGGGACGGCGGCGGACGCGGTGGCGACGGCGGCGGCGGCGAGGAGGAGGAGGATGGGGAGAGGGAGGGGGCGGGGCGCCGGCGCCGGCATTTTCGGGGTTCGTTTGGGGTTTTGCGGGGTGGGGAGGTGGTGGATTTCAGTGGAGCGGCGCCATGGAGTGCGGGCTGCGTGCAGTGCGCGGTGGAGTGGAGTGACGAGGTGTGGGGGTGTGGGTGGGTGTGACTCCCGAGTGAGGGGTCAGAGGGGCGGTCGCCGTGGCACGTGGTGTTGAGTGCTTGTATCCTTGGGAATAAACGTACGGAACACAATAAAACCGCTTGCTTTGGAGTTTAATTTAAACGCAGTTACGCTCACGCAGGTGGCTAAACTACACGCTAGGGCACTGTAGAAAGCACTACCAGTAACGTGCTGGAATCATCGGTAATTGATCAGATTGGGTTATTTTCACGTGATGCAATGTGGGTTATGGGTACATCGGTCGCTTGTACCTCAGCCCGTCATCGCCACCAACATTCTATATCTACCTGCTGCGCCCGGGCGCTTGCAGTACATCCAACGGCCGAGACAGGGAAACGAATAGTGCCATGGCCGGCACGGCGAGCGTTTGAAAAATAGCCGTTGATGCTGGCCGGTTAACCGTTAACGTTCACCGGCCCGTGGGTGGGGTCAGTCGGCCTGCTTCTCCCACCTACCACCCCTCGTGGTAAAACACGTCGGCGTACAGCACAGCGGCAGCACACACTTTCGTCGGCAGGCGGCGAGTGGCTGCTTTCAATTCGTGTCCCCTTGCGCCATGCGTGATCGACCGGTGGCCCATACGTTTCCGTTCTCGGCCGCGCAGTTCGTCCACGGCGCCAGCACGTCGTCGTCACCGAGCTCGGAGGAGGCCTCAAGCCGACGACGATCCACCGTAGGAGGGAGCCCAGGTGGGCGCCGCGCGATCCCAAACGGACGTCTGGATTGGCCGGATTTTGTTTCTTTGGGGCGCCGATGCCCGTGTCCGGCTTTGTCCGATGGGTCGTGGTGCGCCCACCGCGCGGCCGCACCCCAAATCGTGTCCGGGGTGGACGTGAATAAAAAAAAATAAAAAACTAGAATGAAATATTTATCTTTTATCTACTAATAAACCAGCTATTGCGCCTGGTCGTCCGTCGTGCTTGTTTTGCAAAAAAGCCCCTCGATTTACAGGAAATCAACCTGCAGTCCTTGTTTTAGTGGCATCCAGAGAAAACGTTTCACTTTTACAGAAAAACCCTATCGGCATTTCAATTCAGTCCGCAGTCCTCCCCTTCCTCTTATCCACTCTGCGCCGGCGGCTACGCCCTTTCCGTCGTGCACCGGCGGCCGCCGTGCCTCGCGCGGGAGGATGGAGGGCGCTCACCGGGAGGATGGAGGACGTTCGCCGGGGCGTGTGCGGCGGAGACGGCGCAGCGAGGCGAGGCAGTGGCGGTGGTTGTCCGACCGTCGTGCCTCGCGCAGGGAGGATGGACGACGCTCGCCGGGGCGTGTGCGGCGGAGACGGCTTCTGCCGAAGTGGAGCAGGAGAGGACCCGAAGGCAAGGAGGCAGGGTGAGTACGCTGTGCACCAGCGCCGCCTTCGTCCTCCACCTCCTCCTAAAGCGTGCGCTTGCTGCGGGCACTGGCCATGGCGCGGCGGTCCTCCGCCCTCGCGCACCCATACTCGCACGACGACCGCGTCCTCCACAAGATGGTAAGCGCCCCGGCCGCTCACCCGCATTTCCTCGGCAGCAGGGCTACCCTTGCGGACCATGCGGCAGCGGTGACGCTCTTCGGGCACCCCCGCGGTCAGCTGAGCCTGGCCATCTATGAGGACACCCGGGCGCCACCGGCGTTCCTCGTCGAGCTGCCCATGCTCGCGGCCGGGCTGCACAGGGGGGGTGACCACAGGACCTTGAGGCTGGCGCTGGAGAGCGACACCCGCAGCGCGCGGCCACCACTCCTGTCCAACGACGAGCGGCACGTGCTGCAGCTGCTGGGCGTCGGGGTGCTGCTGCCGCCGCCTGCTGACGGCTCCAATTGCCCCGACGGCGTCCTACTCCCGTGTCTGCTTAGGATTGAAGAGTGCTGAACGTGTCCTTGTCCAACACAAATTAATGTAATGCCCGACCCAGATTTGACTTGACTGCTATAAGAGGGAAGCGTCCTGGGCCTGAATCTCCATCAGGTGCGTCCTTGGACCATAGTCTCCATCAAATTCTGTCGAAAATTTCACGAAGCGTCCAATGTCACCGCCGAGTTCGCCGGAGGAACAAGAACATCCGTCGAGTGGTCCAATGTCGTCTGCAGCGGCTACAGGAGAGGTATTGTTTCTATCCCCTTGAATGCTAAACACCTGATGGAATCCCCTGTTTTAGTTATTGTTTCCATCCCTCGGCTCCGTCTGCGATTCTGCTATTTCTTCAGTTATCAATTAGCTTTGCAGTGGCATACACATGATGAATAGTTATCTCAGCGTGTACTACAAACAACTTATGTTGGATATGTGTGCTCATGGCCTGATCTTGTTATACGGAGGAGAAGTCTGACACTCTGACTGTGAGCTCATCTATTTACTCTGCTGTATAAGCAGTGTTCGTTCAGTTCAACCACTATCATCTATTGGAATTTTAGCTGCTTAGTATGTAGTAGAAGTAGCATGTATCAGGTTGTGTGTTGGCAGCATAAGAGACTTGTATTATTCTACCAATTTTAAATCTTTTCCAGTATAAGATATCCTCTGAGTTCATCAAGCTTCACGATGTGGTGATCCGCTAGGATGGGTGACATTTAACTCTCTTCCTTGCATCTCATGCTTTGATTTGGGTGTTGTTTGGTTTGTTCAGATTTATCACTATGTTCTGGAGCGACTAATCAGTGTTGTGGAATATTAGAAAGATTTTCCTATTAATTTTTGGCTTGTTCTTCTTCATTATCTCATTGATGTTTGTGTGACAGGAATCTGTTAGATGAATAATTTGTGTAGAACATTCTTCTGGGTCCCATGCATTTGATTTCTGTAACATTGCAAAGATCTATGTCTGCTCCTGTTCACATTTTTGTTATGAATGTCATACCACAGAGTCCCTTTTAGTATCAATTCATGATTATTATTCTCTTTCTAATTTCGTTTTTCATCTGTTATTTTGTTGGTTGTTAGATTTCGTGTTGATGAGAGAGGAACAGAATGTCAGTTGTTCAGTACTTCATGCAAAGATACTACTACAATCTGCAGTACTACTTGGCGCCTGCAGTCTAGAAGTGATTCACGGCCTGTATATTTGCCTACAGAGGCACTGTATCCATGCTCGCTGTTTACTAAAAATTAGACATCCGATGCTCATATTTTAATTAGACATCGGATGTTGAGTGTATTCTACAAATTGACTGTGGGCGTGCAACATTGTTGAAGGGCAAAGGTACTCTAAGAAGCTGAATGATAAACAGGTCACCAACATACTTAGATCTTCCTTGGGTTTGTGCAGGACATGTCTGGTTTCACATAGTCAGTTTCACTTTCACGAAGACAGTGGAAATGTAGAAAAAGGAAAGCACGTGGATTTAGAAATTTCAGTATTGTAGAGCTCAGTTGAAATGGAAAACGAGATTTATAGCATCCAGCCAGAGTGGTGATTCGATTTTTGATGATTGGTACTTTGGTTGTGAGGTCGATGAAGACATGAGATGGATTTGGGCGGGGCAGTGGGTTTGCTCGCGAGGAGGTGGGAAGGACGAAGATAGTGGAAGAACCTTGAGATGATGGTTATATTACTGACTCAATCCTTCAGGTGCATGAATGGTAACTTGTGCAAAACTACGCTTCCCTTGTCATTTGATAATTTTTATCTTTATGGTGCTCATAACATATGTTTCATCTATACTTATAGGAGTTTGTTACCTTCATTTGGTCGAAGAATAAGATGTGGGTAATATATGCATTGCCGACTTAGGTTAACATTTTTTGAACAGAATTTCTATAAATTTTATACAAGTATTGTGCTGAAGTCCGTGAAATAGGTTAATGGCCGAGAGTGTTTATAAGTTATCAAGTCGAGCACATAAGTCTGGAAGTAGCTAATTTTCCTACTGAAAAGTAGATAGAGATTTCTGAAGACATGAGACATTAATACATAGTATACATAGGCGTCTTATGAATTCTATGATTCTTCATACCTTGAGGTTGTTAAACATCTATGCACCTTTCATTAGATGAGGTACATTCAAATTGGGTCTGTTTATAACTTTGATGGAAAAAAATTATCTTCCCTTAGATGGTCAAGGTTCTAGAGCTCATTGCTATGAAAGAAGGCATATATTTGATTCATGGAATTGCCAATAGTATTGGAGTGAGCGTGAGTATCAATTGCTCTCAGAGGAAATCACGAACCACGATCAGAATATTCTCTCACTGAAATATATCTGATCTGTGTGTGTATCCTGGCCACTTGATTACCGAGTACTGCCGTTTGTCTTCCCATTTGATTTCTCATATGAAGCTACTAATTTTGACAATTCCTTTTATTTTACAATGCTATTGCTTATGTTTTCCTGTGGAAAATAAACTAGAGTGAATTAACGATTTGTTTTTCTTTAGATGTTGTTGGTCGGGTGTCCTCTGCTACTGAAGTTTTACCACCACCTGGTGGTGCTTGAGAGCAGAGACGACATACTTTCATCAGCAGTGGCCAAACCCCCAGCGCCGCTGGTGCTGTACACCCCTGTACCCCTCGACACCCAGTGCCTCGCGTCTACCCAACATGAACACCTCCTCAATATGTACATCTCTGAATTTTGCCATTGCTAGAGAAAGTAGAGCATTGTTTTACTGTAGCTATAATTTGAGTTTAGAAGATATACTTGTCAAGGACCTCGGTGCCCAAGACAGCAGGACCTCGACTACGTAGTTCGTAGTCTCGGTTGATAGGAGCGCTAGGGTTTTTGCCTAACTGCTCAATGGTGCAGGAGAAGAGATTAGGAGTAGAGGAGGAGGTAGGAGATAATGATTTATTGCCTGCGTCCAAGGGTGCAGATTACAGGATATATAAAGGCCTTATGGACTTCTAACAAACTAGGAAACTAACTACTCCTGGACT